TCTAACCCCAGCATGATGGGGCACCAGATGAGACAGATAAGCTCAATTCTCGTCGCAGTCCGCTTCCCGAGCGGTTGCGCAGGCAGCCAGGTGAGGTCGGTCGCCGGCATTGTACCCGCAGGGCCGGCCGACGACCGAGCTCAGCCGACGTGCCCCATGGGGCGAGCGGGCCAATGCTGGCGGGCGATGTTGGCCTGCGCCGCGTTCCTGAGTACGTGGGCTGCCATTCAGGAGGGCAGGTGAGCTCTGTCGTCGGATTGCACTCGCAGGGTCGGCCGACGACCGAGCCCGCCTGAGGAGAGATGAGTCCAGTGGGCCCGTGCTCTGTCACATTGCTGATCTGATCCAGTCGGGGGCCGCTGGGTCATCGTCGACCGAGTCTGCGCGGGCGTCGGCGCTGCGTGACTCCAATCCAACCAAGGTCGTTGACAGCTTGGAGCAGCGCTGGAATGGTGGGCCCACCCCTCCCCGAGTTTGCCAGCGGCGCAGATCCACTGGGCCCGCGGAGCGCCCGAGTCGAGCAGGGCAGGGCCAGTGGCAAGGCGGGGCGCGCACCATAGCTCGAAGCTGGGCGACTGTGCTTGCTGGCAGATGCCGATGCGAGGCGGCCCGATGAGATGCGGGGCGCCAGGGTCGCCAAGTGCGACCAGGCCGCGGGGGCAGGTGCCCCGATGCAAGGGGCATGCATTATGGACGGCCCGATCAAGAGTTCAGTTGGCGCCAGGCCCCCCGTTGCCATGGAGGCGGTCGATGGAGATGCCAGCGCCGGGGGGGGAGTTTCACATCCTGGCCGCGAGTTCTCTCGCTCATCTCCGAATGGGTGGCCCGGCGCAGAGGGGCCGCGTGGAAGGACATTTCGAACGCTGGGATGCGATCGGACCCTTCGCGCTTGCAGCCGCCGGGCGAGGGGGGCGAACTGGGCCGCGCATGGACCGAATGCGGCGAGATTCACCGGCGCCCATGCTGGAACAGGGCGGATGAAAAACGCGACGCGCCACCGGGAGTACATCGTTTTCTCCTATTTGCAAGAGGGCGCCCGGTTGGAAATTTGCATTTTGGGCCGCCTTGAATTTGATTTGGGCGAGTTTGGGTTCGCACTTTGCACGCTGCCTGCTGCGCGCCTGTGCTCGCAGTCGTTTTCAGACCCTGGCGACGAGGGTGCCGACCCACCTGCCGGGCCGACGCTGCCACTGGTTAAGTCTCCGCGGGCGCGCAGTCGCAGTCGCGCGTTGCGCGCTGCGAGAATTTGAATTCGACGCGCGCGCGCCGCGGGGCCCAGTTCTGGTTGCCACAGCCCGCGCACTACCATGGATGCGCCAGGGGATGGGTTGGACTTTGTCGAATCTCAGCCAGATGAGACACCGCCATCGCGGGCGCTCTTGCCGCCGCCCCAGTCGCCGCTGCCCCCGCCGCCGCCCCCCCCGTCGGAGTCGCCGGAACTGTCGCCGTCGCTCCTGGCGGGGCCGCCGGAGCCTGAATTCGACTCGCGTTGCAAGAACTGAATATCTGGATCTGCGGGCACAGGCGGCGCCGGCGCAGCTGGAACTGGCGCGGCCGGAGCCGCGAGGCGCCCTGGCGCGCTTGGGACATCGAGTGGCCCAGCTTATCATGATCCAGGTAAGTCTCTTCGGTTGCCGGGGGGCTGGCCGAGGGCTTTCCAGCCCTGCCGGCGGGCCCTCAAGTGCTCGTTTCTCGGGGTCAACGCGAGCGCCAGATCTGCGTTGCGTCCGACCACTAAGACGCAGATCGCATCCTATGTTTCCGTCTCCAGCGGCTCCAACGCCAGACGATCGAGCGCCGGTCAGCTCCACGATCGCGACGTCGCCGTCGGGGAGCGGCGGGCGACAGCGCGCGCGAATTCCAGGGCGTGGGCCGCGAGCGCGACGCGCGAGGGGGCCCCGTAGAGACTCCCGTGCCCCGCGGCTATAGGCGATGGGCCACGGGGACTGCTCGCCCTTAGGGGCCCGCTCTCTGGCGCCTCCGCCGCCTGCTTCGCCGCCGGCGTCGTCGTCGCCATCGGCGCCTGCGAGCCTCGACAGCTGGGATGGCGCCCTCCTGCGTAGAGTCGCCAGAGTCGCGGTCGGGCCAGAGATCCATCGCCCCGAAGACCACGCCCAAAAGACTTGCGAACATGTCGAGGGCGCAACGAGATCCAGCACTCGATGCACTGCGCAATTTCCACCAATCCCCCTGACCACGGAAGCGCGGGGGCACGGGGCGCGGGGGGGGGGCATGGGAGCTCGCGGTCGCGGGGGCACGGGGGCACTGCGCATCGCGGCGTCGCGCATTGCATTCCACGCAGAAGCGACCTGGCCCGAGTCAGCCCCCCCCCCAAGACAACCCCGCCCCAAAAAACAGCCCCGCCAGACTCGCCCATCGAGGGCTCTTCGGAGAACGCCGGAGCTCAAGAGTCACAATTCCGTTGAAGGCCGCAAGAGTCCAACAGCAAAGATAGAAGCGGCCGTTTTTCTATCGAACGCCCGTCGACGGCGCGCAGCGTGCAGCGTGCAACTTGCGAACCCAAACGCGCCCTGTCCAGTCCAATGCGCCTGAATGCCGCGCGCCAGCCTGGCACTCGAGCGCGCGTGTCAGGAAAAAGAAATGCGCTCTTGTTGACATGGCGCGGAGGTCATCCGCCCCGCGTCAAGCGCTGTCGCTCAGCTTCGCGCCATGGTGCGCGCCCTCCTCGCTCATGATCATGTCCCGCTCCAATTGGCGCTCGCTCTGGCTGCTCCGCGCATTCAGCGGCTCCGCGCCATCGGCGAACTCAGGGAGGTTAGGTCTGCCATTCCAGCGCGGCGCCAAGCTGTCAACGACCTTGATTGGGTTGGAGTCACGCAACACCGACGCCAGCGCAGTCGACGATGGCCCAGCGGCCTCCGACTGGTTCAGATCAGCAATGTGACATTTCACGGGCCCGAGGGACTTTCCATTATTCTGGCGGGCTCGGTCGTCGGCCGACCCTGCGGGCACAGCGCCGACGACCGAGCTCATCTGGTCGCGTGGCTGGCCGCCCACGTTCGGGAACATTTCATGGCGACGACACCGCCGGCCAGAATTGGCCCGCTCGCCACGTGAGGCTCGTTGGCTGAGCTCGGTCGTCGGCCTGCCCTGCGGGCGCAATGCCGACGACCGAGCTCATCTGATTGACCGCGCGACCGCTCACGAACCGGACTGCGACGAGGAGTGTGCTTTCCTGTCTCATCTCAATCCCCCGCGCCCGGGGCCAGAGACGTTTGCCGACCGCGGCATCTGGCGGATAACGCCAGTGCCATGTGCCAGGCGCTATCGGCTGCATTGTGTGGAGCGGGCGCGGAAACGCTACCAGTGCCCATTGCGAGTGCTTTGTTGGCTGCGTTTGCCGCCCGCAGCAAGCGGATGCCCGGCTTGCCCGCCCAGTCTTGCTACGCGGGCCGCAATCGCACGGGAGTTCTTCAGGGGCCCGGCAGGGGGGGCGGCCCCCTGGCCCGCTCGTCGCGCGGTCGCAGCGTCGGGATCAACGCCTTGACAAGCCCCCCCCCCCCCCCCCCCCCCCCCCCCCGCATCAAACGTCAAAGCTCGCCCTGGCTGGTCCGCGGGGCTCGGGGGCCAGGCCGCGAATCCACGCGCGGCTGAAAGCCCAGCCAGGCTTCGATCCAATGTTCGCGCTAGGGAGGCCTCAGCGGACAGGCGTGGATTGTGAACCCGAAACCGTTGCCTAGTTTCAGCATGCGGGATTTATTTTTAATTGCCGCATCAGGCATCAGGCATCGGCCCTCGTCTGACCTCCTCTGAGCTGGGTATTGTACCCGACCACCTTCTCTTCGCGCCACTGCCCAATGACCCGCTAACCATGCACATTGCATGGATAATTGTTGGAGAGGCCCTAGCGGCGAAGTCACGGTAGCTGGTTCAGAACAGCACATTGCTTTGCTCGGGAGGCAATCTGCGTCGGCAGACAATTTACATGTCATATTTGTATTTGTCTGCGCCCCCCCCCAGTCGGATGCAAGTGCGCTATCCCCGTTGGGCATTGCGCCCACAGGGTCGGCCCTCGTTTTCCTTTCTCCTCTCTGCTGGGCGTTGCGCCCTAGGGGCCAGCCCTCGTTTTCCATTTTTTCTTCGCAGGGCATGGCGCTTCGGTGTCATCCATCGCTGTTCCTCTTCCTCCGCGCCCTCCTTCTCTGAGCGCCCTTGCAGGGCCATCGGCCAATGCCGTTGCGTCTCCGCGGCGGAGCTTGGAGCCGGTTGTTCGACAGCGCGGTGGAACGGCGATCTGTCATTTCTTATATCATCGTCTCCCCCCGCGAGTCCCTCCCCCGCTTCGTCGTCGTCGGAGGGAGGGGCGAAACCATGCGCCATGTACCATGTGCCATGCGCCATAGGCATGCTGCATTCGTAGATTAGTTGTTCGGGCAGTTGTGTTTTTCTTGATTCGGTGCTCTGTAGATGTTTCATCCGTTGATTAGTTATCCTGGCATCGCTGCTCTAGTTGCATATGTTGGCACGGGAATCTTGCATTACATGCCCGTGAGAATAAACACTAGGGGATAATACAGTTCGGGGTTCAGGGAGAGATAATACAAGTAGCCCAGCAGACCTCAGCATAATCTCGAAGTAAGAGATGATCAAGAGTCGCTTGACACATCCTGAAAAAATGTGATCGCTTCGCTTGATGTTGCTATATCAACATCGTTTGATGTTGCTATCTCAACATAGCGTTTCGAGGTGATAATGAAGTTCGGCCTCAGCGCTCGCCGCCCAATTTGAATTTTGTATAGGGCGACGATAATTAACTCTAAACACTGAAGGGGGGGTCCCTTTATTATCATCGGCACGCGTTAGTTGAATCGTTGTTAAAAAAAGTTCGCAAACTTGTTGCGTGAGCGGTTTTAGTACTCCTGTGTCTAGTGTTGTGGTGCCTCCAGGCCAGTCAATTCATGGACCTTCGTGTCCCCAGTTGACTTATTTTCTCCGGGGTTTGTCCAGCTCAGACCCCCCCGCCGCCTCCAAGTGCTGAGCTACTCATGCAGCGGCAGTGCCTTTTTCCTGGGCGCAATATTCGTGGCCCTCGGGCTCTCTGCCGACCACGCGTTCTGGTCGCACGAGGAGAGCGACGGCCACTGGGACGACATCCCCGCCGGCGCCCTGGCGACCAGGTGTTTCGAGGGGGCCGGCGTTCTGCTCGTCAACCGGGGCGACGGCAGCTCCGAGCTTTGGCCGGGTAAGGTGCGCGCCAACGTCTTCGGCGACAGCAACTATTTTCGGGGGGCGCCAGCGGCGTTCCGGGCCCAGGGTGCCCCCAGCTTCGTGCGCCACCCGGGAGTTTCTGGGGCCCTCTGGGCACCGTGGGGGGTGTTGGAGGAAGCCTTTGGACCTCGCTGAAAAATCGTGGGGACGCGTCGTGGGGCCAGGGGCACCTCTTTGGCACCGCCCGAGACATTTCCGTATGGCCTACCACTCGTGGCTGCCGTGGGCCTGCGAGGACCCGGAGACGGGGGCAGCGCCGATGGGTCTGAGCGTGCGCGCGTCGGGCGCCTCGGGCGGCGCGCTCGCGCCCAGGGGCCGACGCTTCGCGGGCTGGCGCGGCGGATGGTGGATGTGGCAGGCCGAGCTGGGCGAGGCCTGCCCAGGGACGGGCGGTGGCACCGGAGACCTCGGGGGGCCCCACACGGCGCGGTAACCACAGTCAGAATTCACCCCGGGAGAGGTCCCAGGAGTACGATCGATTCGAGGGTTTCGGACCTTTTCGTTAGTTCCTATGGGTTTTGCTGCCTCGGGATGCGTTCCAGCAGCTGCGCCTTGCCAGGAGCATCCCCAGCCTGCCTGGGTCGTCCCGAACGGCCGCCGGAGATGTGAGTCACGGCCCAGAATTCCAAACATTCAGATGAGGGCTGGTGTGGTGAGTCAGCGGGGTTTCAGGGTCGTTCTCCCAGGATGTCTCGGGCGACCAGGACCTCCAGGGTCCAACGTAAAATCGGTGTGGTGAGGTCGTTGCGTCGTTACTTCGGGATTCGGAGGTCACCGCACGGTCCGTCACCGCAACGGTTTGGGACCACCAAACACCGCACAGACACGCGAGACAACGAACAGTTCTCTTCCGACGCCCCGATGGCTCTGGTCGACAGGACAGCTGGGACGGGCCGCTTTCTGAGCGACGTGGCCATCCTGCATTCAAAACGCTGAATGGAAGACCGCTCTGGGCTCAGGAGGGGCTCTTGTTTTCGGGCCGTTCTTTAAATTTAGATCGGGGAGCCACTTCGTGACGGAGGCTCACCGTGGCCAGAGAAGCCCCTTCGTTTTTTTTTTGTAAAAAATCAGCGTTCATTATGGTAGCCCGATGGCCGTATGTGGGAGCGTTGGCAAAACCGTTGCCCTATGCTGTGGACCGACTGGTAACGCCAGGCGCCAAGCCAGGAGGCAAGAGGGGCGGAGGACAGGAGGAAGCTGGACGGCAAGCCAGAAAGGCGCCGACACCAGCACGAGGCCCAGCCAGCGAGCCGCATAAATGGTGAAGGGGGGCACTACGGCCGACCAGCGCGTGCACCAAAAGCAGAGGGCGTGAAGGGCAAAACGCTGGCGTAATCACGATGAGAGGCACAGCGAGCGAGGGACCAGGGAGGCGCGAGAAGAAGAACGATAGGGCCAAACCACACGCACATTTGCTAGGCCAACAGACCTTCTGCAGCCCTGACGCATGTTACAACTTAGTGTTGTAAGAAGTTGCGTTGACATAGACGTCGGATGTGAAGCTGGAAACGATCGTTCAAGCCATGCAAAGCACGCGCAGTACATGGAAGATGCGTTTTCAAATTGGAATATGGGGGTCTGCGCTGGCATGCGTCCTGGCCACTCTGGTCCCTCACTTGCGTGACAAAGCCCTTTAGACACAGGAATTGCCCTGGACGCACACACAGACCAGACACCGCCAGACAACCAGACACTCCAGACCCATATACATCGGGTCGGATGAGTGGGGGGGATTGGGAAGGGGATGATTGGAAAAGGGGGGCACGACATTTGCTGCATGCAGCTGGTTTCGACCCCGCTGTCGGGCGCGTTCCTCGATACATTGAAGCCTTCGGAGTTGGGAGGCGCAGGGCGAATCAGCTATGCGAGCTGGTTCGCTACCCCCCCCCGCCTTTACTACCCACCTCTTTCCGTACGACCCACATACCTACACAGACACGGCACAGACCACCGCGAGGCCTACTCCAGGGTGGACGTCGCTATGCGGCCACTCGCCACGGGGATGATCGTCGTGCTGCGCCCGCGCGTGCCGTTTTCCTTCACGCTCCGACTGACCAGTTACGCCCTCTGCGGCGGCGGCGCGGCGGCGGAGTGGAACGCGGGCCGCATCCTGCACTCCGAGGACGGCGGCTTCGTGGCCCTGCGCACGCTCGGCGGCTGGGACGGCGTCGACGCCGCCGCCCTGCCGCCCGAGCTGCACCCGGAGGCGGCCGAGAGCGCCGCCCTTGTGGCGACCGCCTCGCAGGCGTCGGGGCAGCTGCTCAGCTGGAAGAAGAATAAACGGCATGACCATGCACGTTCGGAGCTCCGCGCGGACCTCTTGGGCCCGCGCTGGAGCCCCCCTGGCGGCTCCTCCGGCGCGGACTCAAGAAATCTGCGCGGAGCTCCGAACGTGTAGACCTGTGACGCTTCCGCTTCCTCCATCAGCGGGCACCTGGCGGCCGAGCTGCACTACAGCCGCGGCGCCGCGGCGCCGCCGCAGCCCAGCGTCAGCGGGCTCGAGGAGGGCCCGCTGGGGGCCGCGGGCGGCCTCTGCGTCTGCCTGGCGGACGGGCAGCGGCTCCCGCTGGACTTCGGCGCCTGCGAGGGCCTGCTGAGCGACTAGGTCATTCGGGCGGTGGGCCCCGGCCGCGGCCCGGCCCGGGAGGCCCGGGGCCTCGATGGGGCGGCCGCGGGGCGTCCCGGCCGCGCGACTCCGCGCGGCTTCGCGAGCACGGGGGCTGCACGACGGGGGCGCAGGAGAGCGCGGCGGTGTCGTGGGCGTGGTCGTCCTGGAGGGCTTTCGATCCGAGGCGGAGTTCATCCACAGCCGCCGCCTGAGGGATCGATCTTCGGGGGCCCTGGCAGGCGGCGGATGTGGATATATTCGGCCCCCCCCCAGGGGGCCAAACTATGTCTACATCCACAGCCCGCTGGGGGGGCAGGACGTCGTTTCCACAGGCAATGGATCTGTGTAGACCCCTGCCTCGCATCCGATCGCTTCTGGAGGTTCTCGTCGCCCACGGCTGGACGCAGCTCGGCGCACTGGCCATGACGGACCTTGGCGGGGGGTCCGCGAACCCGTCTTGAGCGGATTCGGGTTGGGGTTTGGGCGAGGGGGGGCGGCCCTTCTGAGAAGGCACGGGGCGGCGTCTTGGAATGGATCGGCCCTCCTCCTCCTGGAGGCTTCAGGGGAGGCCTCTCGGAAGACGTCGAGGCTTTCAAGAGGGGGTGCCTGTTTAGAGAAGATCTGTCCTTAGACCTATCCTGGCCAGCTATCCGAGCTGCGTCCAGCCGTGACGACGAGGGGCCCCCCAGAGGCCAACAAGCGATGAAAATGAGGGCACGGAAGAAGAGGGATGGCCGCCGGCCGTTGCCCCGCCACCTGCGCGCCGGCAAGCTCAGACGTCCAAAGCCGTGACGGGGCTCTCGGCTCCCTCCCTGGGGCAAGCTTTCTCTTGCGGGGCTGTTTTTTTGACGGTCCTGGAGTCCGGGACGAGTCTCTAGAGCGTCAGGCCGAGGGAAACTCACCCGTCAATAAGCTTGTTTTTTCCATGTGCCCCTGGACCTCTCGACCCCTTCATCCCAGGCAGATGCTTGGCTGTCCCGTGCCCGCCCGGGCAGATGCTTGGCTGTCCCGTGCCCGAAAGAGGCACTTGGAGCCCCAAACCCAGAGCAACCCAACCGTCGCGAATCTCTTCTGTTGCGAAGGATCTGGGCCCACCCTCTTCGGGCCAGCTCCAGGCTTCCCAAGTCCTGGCCTCTCCGACCTATGGGCTCCCAAGCGGAAAATCCCAACGGATCGCCTTGAAGGAAAGGGGGCTTGGGGCAAACAGGTCCTAGAACTCAGGAGCGCTCCCCAGGAACAGTTTTCCATCCTGGGTCGGTGTTTGACGATCCGAGCCCTCGGAACCCGCATCTTCCATGCTAGAATTGGCATCCACTGCTGCCCGGGCGGGGGTGCGCAGTGCGGGGCGTTCCTGAGTCAGCGGGACGCCCGTCCTCTTGTGGGGCGCTCGAGCGCCTCTCCGAGGCCCGCCGTGGCCGACCCTCGGAGGTGAAACCACTCTGCTGATACCGATACTCTTTCTCGCCAGGAGGGGAAACCTGAGATACGACGGCGCGAACAAAAACAGATTATCTTGCATTGCGCGATCCCCACCGGAACCTTCGGTGTTTGTTCCCGACGGCGCGCGCGCCTACTGGAACGATGCCCTCTGTCATGTGCGACTCTCTCGTTGATGATCTCATTCCATTTAGCTCTCTGAAATGTTCAAGCTTGCTAAATGTTTGTGTTCTCGCTATCTCTGTTGCGTAATGCTACCGTTTACTGTTATCTCTCCGCTTCTGTTCCAAACATATGTGTCCACAGTGTTGTATGCTCGTTGCTGTTCTGCTCTCCTATCGCACCCTGCCTGCACCCCGCGCGCCTGCGGCGCCTGAAGCGCCTTGGGGGGCGCTGTGGAGGCCCCGAGGCCGACTGCGCAGCGCAGGGCCTAGGCAGCGCCCCTCTTCGGGCGCCGCTCACGCGGCCGCCTGCGCGCAGCGTGTGGCCCGCCCCCTGCTCCGCTCCCCCCACATGGCTGCCGAAGTGGCAAGTGCCCGACTTTGCCCCACACTCTCCAAGCCTCCCAAATGGGGGGCCGAGCAGACGTGGTCGGAGAGGCTCGTGCCGCATCGCCGATGCATCGGCGATGAATCTCCATAGGGAGCCCGACCTTCTCCATGCCGGCGGCGCCGATGCACCGCCGACGTCGCCAACTTCATCCTCCGACACCACCTAATCGGACCCCATTTGGGAGGCCTTCATGCTCACGATGGAAGTAGGAACGACACGCAGCTGCTGCGGGCCCATCACCGTGTCACGTCGTCGCTCTTGTCCGAAAGTCGACTGCTTCTTCAACGCTAGCACTGCGATGGGTTCCCCACGGCGGCGTGAAATTGATACCGCTCTTGCTCCCCCATCTACGCGCGGCGTCCTTCCTTCGCGCGCGTCGCCCTCGGCGGAAGCCGGCGGGACTCGGCGGAAGTAAAAAGGCATCGGCTCCGCGGGCGGAAGGTGGCGGAAGATTTTCGCTATCTTCCGCCCGCGGAAGTAGGAGTGAGACGTCAACATTGTGGGGCTCAGGGTTTCTGGAGCTGGCCTCACTTGACGATTCGGCCATCGTTGGTGGAGGGCGCGGAGGAGGGGGAGGTGCAGGGCGAAGCTTGCACTCCCCGCGGGGTGTCGAAGTAGCAAGTGCCCGACGGTGGCCCTACGAGTGTCGCGTCGAAGTCGAGCTCCAAGTTGAAGGCCAGGACTCGGCCCACCTTGAACAATCTGTGCCATCGGGAAGCCGCGACCGTTCAAGGCTGAACTATCCACGCTGTGTCGGGGACCAACGTCGACGTCATCGCGAAGCGAGCCCTCCGTGCACTTGGTAAATTCGGCCAGCGGGGGCGGCCAGGCGCGGAGGAGTATGCAGAGGGGCAGGGCGCTGCCTGCCCAAACCGGTGAGGACCCTCAGTGCGGGCGGGGCCATTCTCTGCCCTGAGGGGTCGAGAGCGTCGCGGCAAAAAAATCCGATGCTTTTTTGGGCGGCGATTTCGGCATTCGTGGGCTTGGTATGGAGGCCCGAGGCAATCAAAAAGTCGGGCCCGCTGGCCCCGCTGTCTTGATCGTTCGTGTAATCCGCTTTGGGGAGGCTTCCTCTTCCTCACCCTCCTCTTCCTTCTCCATCCGGGTGCCAGGCTTCGGGTTCTCCAAAGAGTGTGGCCTCTGGTCACCATCTAATGCAGGCTCTGCGGTTACTACAAGTAGTCAGCTCTATCTATTGATGTGGACATCGATGTAGATCGCAGCAGCAGCAGCTTTTGCTTCCGCAACCGTTTGGCCTCAGGCGTAACCAAGCCCCAGCTGACAGGAGCGGGCCAGGTCGCTCCCCAACCCGTGCCGCACCCCCACTCAGACATCCGACGACACGTTCTCGTTCGATCAGACGCCCCAAAGGTCCCGCCCCTTTCCCCGGGCCAGTTTTTCGCCCCAGATCCATTCTTGGTTGCCCCTGGCCCGAAAACGGACCCCAGAGGCCGAAATCGAGGTAAAACGCCCAGGTTGACAAAATCATTATGTCGTCGGAGATCTGTGGAGCGCCACGCGCTCTGGTCAGCTCAGTGGGGCAATGGCGGCCCTGATCCGCCCACACTGCGCGCTGCAGCCGCCCTCGGACCACTTCGCGCCCGCGCCGCGAGGCGGCTGCGGCGGCCTCTTCTCTAGCCTGGCGTCCGCCGGCGGTGCTGGGCCGCGAGCGTCGCCGCGCGTCGCGCTGGCAGCTGGGGCGAGCACGTGCGCGGCCGTGTCCAGGTCTCAGCGGTTCAAGAATGGTACCCTGAGGGGTGGGTGCCTAAGGGTGAGAAGTGGATCACAAGCTGAACTTTCACTGTTTGAGGCTCTCGTGCTTAGGACCCCACCCCTCAGGGCCCAAGCTTTGAACCGCCAAAGGTCGACGAGGGACTCTACCACTGCGCGGCACGACTTGCTGCGCCGCCTTACCATCGCGGACAAGGCCGCGGCGGACAGGGCCATTCGGAGGAGAATGAGAAGCACAAGTATAAACTCTCGGAGGTCTGCGCGGCTTTCTTGGATCGTCTCTGGACGGCTCCCTGGGGGCGCCTCTAGTGCCGCCCCTGGTGCGCTCCGGACAGGGAGGTCCAGCGCCGGACAGCGGAGGTCCTGGCGCGCTCCCTGGGGGGCCTTCGCGCGCCAGACAGGGATTTCCAGCGCCGATCCATGGAGTCCGCGCGGACCTTCGAACGTTTCTGCTTGCACTCTCTTTCTTCTCCTGCGTACTGGACAGAACCGCGGCGGAAAGAGCCGTTGCGGCGTCTCTGGGCAAGGCCGTGGCGCCGCCCGTCGTGCCGGTTCCTCCCGTGGTGTCCGCCACTGGCCGCGCGCAGCCGCTGGTCTCCGGGGCGAGGTGCGAGTACCATGACGTCTGCCGGCATGCCAGCGCCCCGGACATCGCGGCGGAGCCAGAGCCGCCCTCTCTCCCCAGGTCGAACACTGCTCCACAGCTCCTCGAGAGGGCGAGCGGCCCCCAGGTGCGCTACGACTGCGGCGGCATGTCGAGGACCACTGGCGCCAGACCAGCGGCCTCTCCAAGAGAGCAGCCAACATGTCGGATGCGCAAGCTGGTGTCCGTCGTTGCGCCTGGCGGCGGCACGCTGGCGAACGGAGCGGTCTACTCTGAGCTGGCCCGCAGCTCGCGCCTGAAGGTCGAGATCCTGGGCCGGGCGCGGGCCGAGTACGACCAGTACCCGGAGGCGTTCGACGGCGGCAGTCCCCCGCCGAACTTCGACAGTTTTGCAGGGGGCCTTCTAGTAAATATGCTCCTCCCCGCCTCATTATACACTTGCCTCTCCTGCTGCCTGCCTTGCCATACCTTGACATTGGTATCACTGTATACCGAAGCTGTATCTACTCCTCGAGTGAGAAAAGGAGCGCGCCGGGGGGCGCGTGGGCGGCCGAGTCGTCGTCCGTCCCTGGCCGGACTCCTCACTTCCTATACTTGAGTACAGTTGCTTATCGGATAACCTACAGCTCCATCGATGTCTCATCCCGTATCCTCTACCACTTAGCATAGTCAACATGAGACCTTAATTCATTTGGCATCTTACCCCGACTCTCAGAGGAAAGCCTGGTTATCAGCCGAAACCCGCGACCAAGTCGCAATAGGGATGAGCTATGATGAGACAGCCGAATTGCCCGCTGGATCACACGTTGTGCATCGAGACGGGCAAGAACATCAGGACAGCGGCCTGGGGGAGGGCCGCTCTCTCTCTCTCTCTCTCTCTCTCTCTTTCTTTCTCTCTTTCTCTCTTTCTCTCTCTCTCTCTCTCTCTCTCTCTCTTTCTTTCTCTTTTTTTAATCCCACTCGGATTTCTCGTGGAAGGGGCGCGGGAGAAGTCATAGATTTGTCAATAGATGATTCCCCCTCTCGCATTCCGATCAGGGATCGTGAACAGACCCCAGACCCGATAAGGCGGGACGGCACAGCCGCAAATGCCAGGCGAAGAGCCTTTTCATCTTGGATTGCTGAATCCTCAGAAACAATACGTTCCAGCCCGATTGCCGCGCGTTCTATTGTGCCGGCCGCTGGCCCAGCCAGTGGGTCGCAAGACGGAAAGGAGTCCGGCGGTGTGTTCCCCTCCGTCCCAGACGGATGGGGTCGTACGCAAGAGACTCACCCCATCCCGATAGCCTTGAACGGGCACCCGGTCAAGACAGCGACGAACAGCTTGATGACGAAGACGACATCAACTCCATGGAGGAAGATGTAGAGTATTCCAGTTATCAAGTATCACCAAATCAAGCTTTGTCGCTAATGAGCGCTGCTGACCACCCCGTCCCAGACGGAAGGTCATCCCCTGGGCAAGAAACCGTTGACTACGATCATTTGGAAGCCCTTGGGAAGGCGCTGGCAGAACCAGGTTTCGACACCGTGATCAGTGACCTGCCGCCCCAGGCGGTCGAGGTAGAAATGGGTTCCCAATTTCACGTGAAGCATGACCGGGAGACCACGGGTCGAACGCCCGCTCCTCAACATAAGAAGCACAGGAACGAATCTTATGATTTGAATGATTCCCCGCTTCAGGAAGGGTTCTATCGAATTGCCGTCGCCCCAGGTGGTTGGCAACCGTCAGTGCCCGCGGTTGTTGAGGACGATGAGATGTTCAACCCCCCAGCAACGCTCGCTGAGTTGGTTAAACAAGATAAACGGGATGAGGAGCTTTGGCCAAGCCACCGGAGAGCACGCACGTTCGTCCTCGATCGTCTGCTTCGAGCAGGGGAAGGCCCAAGATGCCACGATCTGGTGCCCGATCGACTTCGAGGAGCAACCGCGCAGTATCCATGCGTGAGGTACGCTGGAACCGAGGCCCCGACTGTCCGCCCCAGGCGGAGAACAGGTGCCCGGGGAAAGCTCACGAACAGGGAGGACTTTGTAAGCGTCCAGTGTGTGGAAACTGTTCTGACGCGTGTCCTAACTGCGGCAATCAATGGATGTGTGAGGATTGCTTTCAAATGGAAGAACATGACTGCCAATGCCTTCTCATCCAAGCCATGCGGGATCAGGCCAGATTCGTCGAGGCCAAGACACAGCAATAAGTCATGGTCCTGGAAGCCCAGAGGGCCGAACAGGCTCGACTGGATCGAGAAGAAATGAACGCAGTTATTGAAGATGTTCGGAAGAAGTTCGCGGCTGAAAGAGTCGCCCTGGCGCAAGCTGCCAGCGGGCGGGAACAAGAGCTGATGGAACAAATGCCCTGTCAGACCGCGGCTGCCCAGCGGCGCGCGGAAGAGGAAGCCGAGAACAGAATTCTTGAGACGATATCTTCTGAACGACAGGCTGCCGTGGCGGCGAACAGTCAATCTGTCGACGCCAAGACCGCTTGCGCCGCTGTTGCGGTGGCGAGAATCAGAAGGAGAGAGGGCCGCGACGGCCAGGGCAGAACATGATAAACAGGAGCTCCAAGACCAACTTAATGCTGCCAGGCTGGAGGTGGCCAATGCACAGATTGTAGCTGCGACGATAGTTGATCATAATAAGCAGTATCGAGAAGAGCTCAAGTTACATGAAAATGCGAGAGCATCTCTTCAGCGAGTGCAATTAGGTGACGAAATGCGCCTACCGGCCAAGCCGGCGGGGGCGGGCAGACGACCATCGCCGGCGGCCCAGCCGTCTGGTGCGACGTCGTCGCAGGCCCAGCCTGGTTCGGCGCCCCTGGATGGCGGAGTGCCGCAGCAGCCACGGCCCGCGAAAGGGGTCAATGAGGAGAGTTGCTCTATATGCTCGAGTCCGAGATCGGAACATGCGCTACTTGCGGATTGCCAAGCTGTACAGACCACTTTAACACGAGCACCAGACGTTGCGTCACTTGCACTTAACGAAAGAGTTTGCCCGTGGAACAGGCGGAATGGGATGAGCAATGGCAGCGACATAGCGCGGGCCCCAACTTTCGGGCCCAGCAGCAAAAGCTCCTCGATGAATTTTACACTGATAAACTTAATCTGCAGCGGGTGAAGGAGCAAGCTGAGGAACAGCCTCGACTGAGCTCAGAAAGGCCAGCTGCCGACATTCGAGAGAAGGATGAGGCGCTGGCACGCGCAGTTGCATCGGGGAAAGAAGTGATGGAGCTCAAGGCTGTCATCGCTGAATCCTTGAAAGAAAAATGGCAAAATGTGCTGCCTCAGTTGCAATCTGCCAACCGTGAAGCGGCCATGATCAAGAGGGCAAAAGAGAGGACGAGAACCATGGGAATGTAATCCTTTCTATCTATCGAGAAAGAATTTGATAAATTGCCCAGGTTCAGTCTGTTCGGCATGCCCCAGCTTTCACAGAAGACGCCCGTGAGGCCAATCATGCAACCCCATTATATTGTCCTTGGCCCTGCAACCGAAAGTCCAGCCAAGCCTGGTATCTCCGGGAACAATGTACCCATCAATGCGGAGTTGACAGGTATTACTGGTGTCATGACCTTCATTAACTATCATCCTTTCACCAAGGCGGGACCAGCGAGACCGCCAACGGCCCAGCCGTCTGGTGGAGATACGGGCCATGCGCCAGCGGCCGCGCCGCCTGGCGGGGCAGGGCAACACAGGGATGGGGACGATCATAGTACCGCACCAAGTACCGAGATCTTGTCAGCACTTGCTAATGCCATTCGAGACCAGCCGGAGAAGCCGCCCCAAGGGGGTCCGGGGGGTCCTGGATCCCCAGGCGGTGGAGGCGGTCGTAGCGGACCTCAGGGCCCAGGAGGGCCAAATGACCCGGGAGGTCTTGACGAGAGTACCCCTCTGGATCAGTGGAGACAGGGCGGGAACCATCAGAAGGTCGATCTGATGGACATTCCCGATGTTACAAACATGCGGGAGTGGCAGATGCATGCGGTTCGTGCTGTTGCTGGATCGTCTCCTGAGATTCGGGAAGCGCTGCTCTGGATCATGGAAGCTATGGACCCCTCTGTGACCAACGAACAGCTCAGACATCCGGGTCGCTTCCAACGTCTGGACATCATGATTGTCATTAACCTGATTGAGAAATTTAACAAGATGCGTAGGAATCGCAGTCTTTCCGCTCATCACATTCACTTCCTCCAACAGATCAATCGCATGGAATGCGGCGCCCAGAATGAGCAGAGGCTCTTGACAGGGCGCGACTTGATACGAGCCATTTGCTATTAGTGTTCAGTCAGATCGGAGTTAGGTCAACATCGAATTTCGCGTGACATCTTTAAGGTAGTTATTGACCCCAATCGCTCAGATGCTGATTTCTATCATTTCTATAATGAGTGGACATATGTGCATCAGCAACTCAACCTCCGTCTGACGAGATGCGAGCTTCGACCCACGCACACTTCATTGAGCAATGCAGGAAGCCGAAGAAATTGGAGCTCGTCTGCCAACTTTATGATTTCTCCACGGACAAGCTAGGAGAGGGTATGACAACCTACGAATGGCTCGTAGCCCAGATTGAATAGATAATGTTGCGTGAGAAGAAAGAATGGAACATCAGTTTGCATGAGGGTACTGTGAACCAACGTGCTCGACAGGCGCGGTTGGGCGGCGGCGGAGGCAACGGCGACGACAATCGCCGAGGCCTCAACGGCAAAGGCGCTGCGGCAGAAGTGGCAGCTCGTCTTGGGAAATCCACGGACGTTATGATGAACGGAGCGGCCAAGGGCGAGACGACGTGCAAGTTTGTGCGTAAGGGCGAGACCTGCCCGTGTGCAGGTCAGGGATGCCCGTTTAATCATCAGATTCCTAAAGCCGCCGCTCCGGCACAGCCTGTTGCGGGGGCTAAATCGCATGCTGCCCCGGCTCCGGATGCGAGTTCCAGAGGGAGGTCTGAGAAACCTAAAAAGGCGGAGGCCGAAAGGCACAGAGCCGATCACAGACCCCGACGGGTGGCCGTGGAAAGGGTGCGCCGCAACGGAATGGGAGTCAATCCGATCGTTCGCGTGGAAAACAGAGCAAGTTGCCGTGTTACCCTTACTCACGGGGCCCTAAGAACTGCCATGGACCCCCAGACGGTTGCCACAGGCAACGCAGAGCCTTGACCGACGCAGAAAATCTCAAGCGTGACGAGCATGAACAAGCGAGGCTTAATGCGGGACAGACTCTGGGATATGAGCGCACAATCAAAAAAAACAATGCCGCTGCTGCCGATGCCCCTTCATCTGCGGGCGGCGGCGGCTCCAGGGCCGCCAGCGCCAGTTCGGAGAGACGCAGGGGAGATGGAGACAAAAGCAGGGGCAAAGGCAAAGGCAAGGACATGATTTGTCGCTCTTTCAAGGAAACGG